ATTAAAATTTAATATAAATTAAAATTTTAATTTTAAAAGATCAAAATTAATGTATACTAATCTCTAAAAATTATATTAAAAATTATAAAAAAACACTATTTCTATATAACACTCGATTTCTTACAGGAACTTTGTCCTTTCGCTCTTTGGTCTTTTTTATGACTTCTCTATTTTGTTTTGAAAAAACAGAATTCCGTACATAATTTTAATCCTAATTATTATTCTTCTAATGCCAACCATTGGCCCAAAAAAATAAAAGAACATTTATGCCAGCTGTTAATAGTTGGGCCGCATACGGCCTCAAAGGCTTAAACTCCAATCCGAATCCAAATCGATTTAAATTGTTCCCCCTGCGGCCCTGCATAGTGCATATAGTTGGGCCGTCCCAAACTCCAAAATCTGATCCAATTTCCGAAAATTTTAAATTCAGTAAAAATTGGAACTCACGTATAAAACGCAGATTGGATTGCTCTGCAAGTGTGGGCGCGGGAGAGTGGCTGTTTGGCTTTCTTTTTCTTCTTCTTCTTCTTCTTCTTCTTCTTCTTCATGGAAATTTCTTCAGTACAAAAGCTTTGCCTGCATGTCAGCTGCATTTTTCAGCATATCTTCGATTTGCTTCAAATCATCTGTTTCCTCAGTCCATTTGATTTTCGTGTTCTCCATTTGCAGTTGATTTCTTCTGCATTCCAAAGATGCCGTCAATCCGAAGATCTCTGCAGATTATCGGTGGTTCTCAATCGCTCCACAGCCGCGTCTCCGATCGTTCGAGTCTCGAGTAACTAATTCATCTCCTTCCTTAGATTGCATCGATTGTTTCCTTATAATATTTTCAGAAATCGTGTTTTCATGGAGATTTACATAATTACGGGCGTTTAAATAAGTAGAAGTGGTTTAGTTTGGCTGTTTTCAAGCAGAGTTCACAAATTAGGCATTTTCCGTTTTCTCAGAAAATATGACATGCTCATTTTCGTTCTTGAAGTAACATAAGAAATAGTTTCATTACAGGTCTTTTAATAAATTTATAGGGTGGACTGTACTATATTTTTTTGTTCATTTTTATTTTTATTTTATTTTTATTAGCAGTATCAGATACTGGAATTGGTAGTTGCTTGGAGGAGTTTCAAGTTCTGAAAATTGCAGGAGAATTTCTTTGTCCTGAAAAGTGGGGTATGTTGATAGTTCATTCATTTTAGTATGGTCGTTGGATTCTAGAATTGTTAGCTTACCACCGTTATGCATTGCATTCCCATAAAGCAGAAAGAATTTACTAAGTTAAATCAGTTTGTAGAATTTTTCAATGATTTGATAATTTGTTTGGCATCATTGTGGCGCAGATGGATTGCTTTTGGTCAGAACTACCAGTAAGTTTCCTTGTTTCCTGATTATTTTGGTCACAGTTTATGGGAGATTTTCATATTTAGCTTTGAAAATTGCATGATCAAATATCAACTCTAGATTCACTACTTGTTTTTCTGCCACTAGGGACGTTGGTTGCAGTGGACAATCACCTAAGGTCTTAGTTTGTAGTTCAAATTTAGTTATGTTTTGTGGCACATGCTTGCTGATTACCAATAGACAATTAGACATCAACCTTCTAGATTCAAACATTGTGATGCATAAATCAAAAAGTTAGACTTGTTAAATTGGGGCAGCATGTTTCTTTTTCCTTTCTTTCTTCAGACATTGGTTCCTTGTAGTTGATACATGTACCTTTGCATGGTTCTTTCATTCTATTTCCACCCTCATTACATTCTGTCTTTCTGCATCTCTGCATTGAAATTGCAGGTATTTCTGATGACGAGATCTATCATTATCACTTAAATTTTAGGGAAAGTCTTTCCACTAGAAGGCTTAACAGGCTGCCTTTTAACCTGAAGAACAGTGCAAAATTCAGGTATGCACTTTAGAACTTCTTATGAGGCTTTTAAATCAACTCAAGTTCTTTGATTTTGGTCTATTTATTCTCAGCGGTACAGAGGTAAATCTGGCCACCACTGAACGTATTGATGTTTTGCTGGCTGAGGTCAACTGCTTCTTTCATAAGGTTCACTGGCCCTAATGTCCTATTTTTGAACTCTGTTTCTTTTATTTCGATGCCAGTAATTTTCCTTGCTAGAGTAGCTTGAAATTTTTTAAGCATGCTAGCTCAGATCATATCTAAACATATCAGCTACCAGTAAAAGGATACAAAAGAGAAGGGAAAGAATGCCTGTGGGTTGTGATAAAGTTTTCTGAATGCTGTGTTTCATCAATATTCTCTAGAAGACGTAGGATATTTTTTTTTCCTTTTACATAAAAACTGTCTTTAATCTCTTTGCTTATACAAAGGCATATAGCAAATTCATTTACCACGTCTATTTCTTTGTTGGTTTTGCAGATGCTCATTCTAAATATCCCAGTAAGTTCAACTACTACATTGATGCTCTATGGTCTGGGTAATAAATGGCACTATGCATTAGAAATTTAGAATTGTTCTATTTCAAAGACTCATTTTTTAAATAACTGAAGCAATTAACCTGAAACTTCACCCTTCATCTGATTTGGATATTTAGTAACAGGTAAATGGAAAGAAAAATCTAGTAGAAAAAAAAACCAAAAGTTCAACATCTGAAGTAAAATGACAATTAAATGGTGCTGAATTGTTGATGAGCTTTGACTTTCTTCCAGAATATTGTGGCTGAACTGGTGATTGAGCAAGGGGATGCTCCCGGATCACAACACGGTGATGTCTTTCTTGCAAACGAATACAATTCAACTCTATTTTCAGCTTCGAGTGTTGAACGTTTGAAATCAGGCCTCGAAGCATATGTTTTGACACATGGAAAAAGCTTAAAAAACAAGTGTGACTCTTGCTTCCCAACACGGTAAATTTCTACTGTACTCATACCAATTTTTGTGTGTGTTACTCAAAACACTTTGATTCAGAAATGGGAAAATGCTTTTGAGTCAGAGCTTTGATGCCATTAGTTTTCCTTGTGTAGAAAATAAAATTTTTGGTTTTACATATCCTGACAACTTAGGATGCCCTAATACCACTCTAATATCTTGAGCTGGGTTCTGTTATTCTTTTCTCTTCTTTGACCAATCAGCTATTATGCCTTTTTCTTAGCCATATAGCTATAGTTTGAGGAATTCGTAAACTGTAAATACCTAGCCTCAATATCTATTACATTTATTATTATTATTATTTTTTGTGTACATGTCTTTGACAATAATAGTAATGCTTTCCAACTGTCCTTTTACGTTGGTAGGGAACCTCTTAAAATTGGGAGTGGGGTAGCATGCAGCATGGAAAGCCATAGGTCTGCTGGACAGATAATGGAAGTGGTTATTATAATAAGTGAGTCATCAGTGTCCAGCATTCCTTGCCTAAGGTTATGCAACACTAAAACAGAGGTTTGTGTCTTTCTATCTACGTCTTTTTTGATTGAAGAACTTGAGAAATTGCTTTTAAAAATGTGTCCCAATGAAGACATTCACTTCTCAAGATGATTCCTGGCAACTTTGTATGCACAACTCCATTCATTTACCCCAATGCATTAAACTGTTCTGCTCCGATTGAAGTTTAACGCTGGGAGGAGTTATGATAAGTAAGACAGTTTCTACATTTTTCTAGACTGTGATTCAGCTGACCTGAGATAATTCAGGAAAGAAAAGCAGATTTCGCTCTCTTTATTTGCTTAAACTCATTTGGGTCTACTTATGATCCCATTTTTACAATTGTTACCCTGAGTTTGGATGGGTTAACAATATTTGTTTCCAGGTCTTGTATTTCAAGGACTTCTCGCCAAGCTCAGTCTCCGCATCATTCCCGAATGCATTGGCAAGCATTAACTGGAGAAGTTATGGGTTAAATCTAGGAAGTGTTGTAGATCAAGGTGGCAGCACATTACTAGAATGGGAAAACTTACCTCAATATGCTCATATTGATATGGTCCTCCACTGCTACCATAAGCAATATCCAACTTCATGCCACGTAATTCGATTTCTTTATATGCAAGACCTTTTTACAATCATGTTTCTCTATTGTAGTTTCTTCTGATTATATGTTTATTTTTTATGTATCTTGATTTTCTCTCACTCATCAAAAGAGGTTTCCTTGACTTGTTGCCAAGGCCATGATACCACCAGCAAAGCTTAAAACTCAACCTGATCGAAATCTTATAAAAAAGGCAGTTAAACTTGCCTTGGATGATTTGAAAGAGAGACATTGTGGACTTCTTCTTAGTTCACATGCTCGAAAGGTGAATCTCTGTCTCCCATGAAAAGCCAATGAAATGCAGCCTCACATTGCAGTTCATATGCTTTTCAATACCGTGGAAGTTATGTTTCTAACTAATTTTCCTTTTATCCCTCAGATTTGCAGTTATGCCCCTGACCTTGCAAGAACAATTGCTGGCCTCATTGTGTCATCCAACGATTCACACTTTCAAAGAGAATGCATTTCCCTGCTTGGCTTGCATGGTCAAAATATTGCCAGTGGAACCATTGAAGACTGCGTCAAGGAAAAGATTATGGCTGTTATAGAGACAGATGATAGGAAGCCCCAGAAAAGCAAAGAGACTGCACCCTACTTATTTGAAGATGACTGCCTCCCAGAACCATACTTTCAAAACGAGGAATATGAAGGTGAGGATGGTGATGATTTCTTAGTCCTGGATTAATATATGCATTTTGACACCATGCATTTTATCAAATTCTAGGCAATACTTCTTTGTCTTTTAGAAGTGCATGTCATTGTTGCATATACCTTTGGCAAAAATGGCAGCAGCCAAAATAGGGATGATGATTCCCCACAGACGGGAACCTCAATATCCCCCACAGGGACTGGAATGCGGATGAACTTCCTGTCCCTGTCCCATTTCATTGTCCAATAGAGGTCGATTTTGACATGTCTTTCAGATCATGGTCCAAATTAATTGCATGCTGCCACATGTACGGTAAGACATTCGACAGTTGCTAGCCACATGTACATATTAAGCCCTGCTTAAACAGGACATTTCCTGAGGATCATACTGCATATCCATCATTCTTGATAAATCTCGATTTCCATAGACTGTTTTGAAAATGATTTTGTATGTGTGTTTAACTTAGGCTCACAAACATATAATTCCAGAAGTTCATAAATATTCATCCAGAATCCTTACGTCTTTTGCCAATAGATCTTTATATATAAGCAAAACCAAAATACATTAGCATTATATAAGTAATTTTTTCAACCGTCACTGTCTCACAAAAGGTATATATACTCAGAAACATAGAAAAAAAGAAAGGATTAAGATTAGGTCCATTTTTAAACACCCCCTTTTAAGACCTTCAAGCAGCAGAGGGAGCAGGAATGTAGATGGCAGGTTCAGGCATGGCAGCCATGATTGATGACCTTGAAAACGAGTCTCCCTCAGGAAGGGTATTTTCTTCTGCCTTCAAATCAAGGGATTCATCGTTGTATATATCCCACCATTTTGCCACTAGCATCTTGACGTCTTCCCTGTCCATGTTTTCCTCCTTTCCTGTGTACCTCCATGGTTTTGATCCCTGTTTTCGGACCGAAAACATTAATTAAATTAATTAACTTAATTAAAACTGGATGGAATTGGGACCAGAAACGAAGGGTACTTACAGCCGCACAATAGTGGACCACCTTAACTTTATCAAGCTCCACATTTTCTGGGTGGCGCCATAACATAGCCATAACCAGATTGTATACGAGAGGGATAGGTTTGTACACTTTTTGGAAATACATGTTCAAGAAGTCCTGTTATTAAATTAACCATAGGATTAAATTAAATTAATAAAGTTAGAAGATAAAAAAAGAGTATACTTTGATTGTGTGAGTACTCACTTGCTCTGCGAATAGTGTTGGCTGGGTGATTTGCAGAGTTTCGAGAAGGTTCTCGAAAGTCAAGCGGCTGGGTTCGAACACATACATACCGGCGTTGAAATATAGAGGAGGAGGAGATCCCATCTTGGCCGGCCAAGTTACTTTCTCAGGGCACTGCTGGCAGTAGCCGATGGAATACTGCAGTGAGTGGCTCCATGTCTTCTCGCAGAAACAGTCCATCACGGCGTAGAAGTACCCATCGGGTGTGTCAAAGAGATGATCTATGTTGTCATACACTTGAATATCGGCATCCAAATACAACATCTTGCTAAACTCCTCAAACTGCAAAATATAATCAAAAGCAAATTAAATTAAAAAGGTCTCTTATTTAAGTTTTGAATCTCAATCTTACTAATAGGTAGATTGTTACTAATAGAGAGTTAAGATTTAATCCAGCGTGCTTAGGTTGAACTAAGATACTCCAAGTTAGGTTTTTTCCAAAAGGGCAACCAAATTTTATTTACGGAATATAAATGGTATTCCGCCCATGCACATAATACTAACACAAGTTGAGAATAGTTGTAGATAATTGTGAACATGAGTGCTTACTTAACTGCTAAAAAAACACATACGCTTTCGAATCTTAGATTCTCATGGAAGTTATACACCATGTAGGTGCGTAGTATCATTATATATGTGTATGGAATTGACTTACGTTCCACATACGAAGCTTGGAGTAGTTGATGACATAGTAGGCCATGGCGAACTGAGTCTGGTGCTCCGGCGGGTAAATAGGCTCAATCTCACGGATGATACAGCCCTGTGACCTCAAAATCTTACGGTGGTCCTCAGGCACGTCCGGCAAGACCGCCACCACAAGACGGTAGGCGCTGTTGACCTTGCGCAATCCCTTGGCCAATCCCACCACCCCCATAACATAATCACCGTTTCCAGCTAAGAATGTCACGTATGCCCTCTTGGAGTATCCAGTATTCGGTGCAGAAACCTTCCCCTTGCCGGAGAAGCCGTTAACCGGAACCTCTGGGGCCATTAAATTAGGTGCCTAAAGGTTAAGGAAGATTGGTGATGAGGAGTGTGGGGAAAGTAAACCAGCAACCCCTAAGAGGAAATGCCACCTTGCTGACCTTTTCCTTCCTGAGTTCTTATGCTACCAACAAGGCTCATTAAATAGAGGTGAAATGAGGACTAAATTCATGCCAAATGAAATCTAAATGGAACTGAAATGCAATTCTTATGTAGGGATGGCAACAGGTCCCCATGGGAGTGGAGATACCTCCACATCTCCATCTTTACCAATGATAGGTATGGAGATTTTTAACGGGGGTTAAAAAATGGCCTTCGTCCCCATACTGGTAAGGAATGATAGGCTCCATGGTATTCAAGTCTTCGCTAAGTATTAATAAATATTATTTTATTTTATTTTTTCTTGATAAATAAAAAAATAAAAATTTAAAATAACTTAAATAAATAAATACAATAATATATATTGCAGCAAAGCAATATCTAGTAATTTATTGCGGCAAATCCAAACCGTTATACACATCCAACAAGTCTAGCCGCTAGTTTATAAAAAAAAAAAAAATGCATGAACTACCATACATGTCCAATTGGGTTGGGTTATTGAATTGGGTTTGAGAAGATTAGAACTGCGAAAGGAATTAGGCTGGACAATTAAGGTTAGATTAGGCGAGTAAAAATTAATTGATAATATATTTATAAAAAAATAGATAAAAATAAATAAATATATTTTTATTATAAATGGATCTTCACGGGGTGGAAAAAATTCTCTACAAAATTTTATAAAAAAAAAAATACCTTTATCTTCACTCTATAAAAAAGAATATTCTTCAAATCTCTATTCTTTCAATTGGGATCTCCACAGAATTTCACGAAATTTCTGTGGAGTTTCGTGGGTCTCAGAGAAAATTATTATCCCTAATCTTATGTCGTCTTCATGTTTTTTCTTTAATTATTATTAAAACTATATATGGTGATATAGAGAAAGAGAAAGAAACAAATGAATGAACATCCTTTCATGGTTTCAACCTTCATCTATCTTGCCTTATCGTCATGATGAACGGCTCATATTCAATTGGAGGTTAATTTTTTTTCATTTTCTTAATATATACATTAGATTTAGAATCCACTCACAAGTTTTACATATTATATTTATATAAAAGATTAATTATTTATCTTTTAACTTTTAATAGTTAACATTTATCATAATTTTTAAAATAAAAAATTTAATTATTTTTAATAAATATATTATAAAAATAAATAAATCTCAACTAT